TATTTTAAAATAATTTAGACTGCAGGTTGTTGATTAAATCTAAAATGTGGTCCCTGCCTACCAGTCAAAAAGCTATTTTAATTAATAGGGAAAGATTAAGGCAATTGAGATCGCTGGGATTGAATGATCGTTAGAATTACATTTTTTAAAAGTTAAAAACAATCTAAGAAACTACTGCAGATGGATAGGAAGGGCCCTGAGGGTTAGGGAGTGCCAGCTTCACCTCTGAGATCAGACCCTATTAGTTCATCTAAAAGCAGTCAGGACTCTGAGGAACCGACTCATGCCTTTTAAACACACAAAACCCGGAACGCCAACAAATTTGATGTAATGGGAAATATACAGTTCCAATTACTGGAACAATTACACCAGGACAATACTTCTGCCCTGCACCCCACTGCCCATTCAAAAGCTTCTGGAAAGCCAGTTTAGTAATCAGGAGCCAGTTTCAGCAAAGAATGACAGTAAATTGTGGTGGCAGGTCCTAAGTGCTGTGCCATCCAGGCTGCTCTTGCGCTCAGAGAGCCTGGGTCATTTGCCATAGGACAGTATTTCTTAAGCTGTATTCCAATGGAACTCAGCTGTGCCAGGCACCAGCCACAAATATGAAATAATTTTAAAAGATAATTCAAAGTTATATATTCATATTAAAACCACACACAGCATAACACTTTTTAGTGCTATAATACCTAAGCATAAGTTTTTTCTTCCTGCTTGGGTTTTGATTGTTGTTGTTGTTTGAGATTTACTTATTTGAGGGGCACCTGGGTGGCTCAGTCCTTAGGAGTCTGCCTTCGGCTCAGGTCATGATCCCAGGGTCCTGGGATTGAGCCCTGCATCGGGCTCCCTGCTCCGAGGGAAGCCTGCTTCTCCCTCTCCCACTGCCCCTCCTGTGTTCCTGCTCTCGCTCTCTGTCAAATAAATAAATAAAATCTTAAAAAAAAAAAAAGATTTACTTATTTGAGGGGGGAGGAGCAAAGGGGGGTGGGGAGAGAAAATCTCAAGCTGACTCCCCACTGAGAACAGAGCCCAATGCAGGGCTCTGTCTCACAACTCTTGAGATCTTGACCTGAGCCAAAATCAAGAGTCAGACACTTAACTATCCGAGCCACCCAGGCGCCCCTGTTTTTTTGTTTAATTTTTTAAGACATGTGTTTTAAAGTGTTCCCAGGGTCTTCTTAAGAGTGATGTTGTCTGCTTTTTTCCTTTTTTTTAAGACTTTATTTATTTGCCAGAGAGACAGCGTGAGAGCACAAGCAGAGGGAGCGGCAGGCAGAGGGAGAAGCAGGCTCCCCGCTGAGCAAGGAGCCTGATGTGGAACCCGATCCCAGGACCCTGGAATCATGACCTGGGACAAAGGCAGATGCTTAACGACTGAGCCACCCAGGCATCCCTGCCTGCTTCTTTCCTGCTACACTGGCCTCCTCCTAGGGAGCAGAACACTCATGTCCACCAAAAGCCACTCCTCTTCATGCAGCACTGGGCAAACAAGACAAACTCCTTCCTTTGGTCTCTCGGCAGAGCACCAGCTTCTTATGGTATCATTATCACAATTTAGTTAGATCTCAGGTTCACTGTTATCTCTCAATGTATTTTTTAATATCATGGATTTGGGAGGTATCAGATCTCAGAATCAAACCTTCCTCTCAGACCTTAGCTCTTACTGAACTTTATTATATGTGCCATGACTTGCAAAAGGGTAGGAGGTACTTTCTTAGAGTATATTAGTACAACATGTTGATTTTTATTAGCACCAGGACTGTCATTCCACAAGCTACATCAAAGAGTTCTGTTGCTAATTTCCATCCTTTCCTAAGTCATGATTTTTTTCTCTCCACAAATTTTTCTATAAACTATGATGCCTGCTATTGCTACATTCTGCTAAAACCTAGCAATTAGATAGTATCTGATGTAACACCCCGAATAATATATTACTTTCAATGTTATACAGTTGTATTTTGTGTGAGCCTCTTAAACATACCATCACCTCCAGGCATTTTCCTAGCCTGAACAAAATTTAAAACATGGCAAAAATCCAATTCTGAAACCTTGTACCAAAAAGCAAACTAAGGCAGTAAATGTAAAACTATCTTAAAAAAAAAAAGTCTTCCAAAGAACATGTGAAGCCTGTATTTTAGGCTTTACATTTGATGCTGTATCCATCTACTCATTCATTCACTTACTGGGTGTTTATGGAAGAGCTACCAGGTGCTAGGTACTGTAATTAAACCGACGAACTAGGCGGAGACCCTGCCCTCGAGGAGCTTATACTCCACCCCTGAAACCAAGTACCCAGGATCAGAAAGGCTCTGAGCCCAAAAGCATTCTGGGCAAACTTAACAAAAATCACTCAGCAGGCTTAAAAGAAACTTAATACCTTTTTGCTCTGATTCCTCTTACTGTTTTTCCCATAGGAAACTATGCTTCACAACAAAAGTTGCTCTCAGCTCCCAGCATATGATTCATCCTTTCATTATCGCCTTCTCAGTGAAACCTTCTTGAACTCTCTCTGGTCCACTTCACCCCGAGGGGCAGAGGTAACCACTGCCTGCCCTGACTTACCAAGGTATTACATTATAATTATTTGTGACCCGTCACTCTTTCCACTTGCTTTTTGAAGACACAAACTGACCTTGTTCCCTTTGCATCCTGAGTATCCAGCCAGATACCAGGAATGGAGATGGATGGAATGAGGTGAATCACAGAAACAAAGACTCCAATATGCAATGTTTAGAATAAATAGGGCTTTTTTTCCCTAGGATTCTTTGCCCAACTGTTTATATGCAATAAAAGCAATAGATGCACATTAGTAACGTTAGACTGTATGGAACATACTATTAGGGAAGCTCTCTCTGCTTTATGTAGAAGTCTCTAGACTGTAAAAGTGACAAAGTTTCTTCTTTTTTGGTTGGGTCTTTGAAAATCAAAGTGAGAATGGTCTGAGATGACTCACTGCCAGTATCTCATACAGCAATCCTTTCTTCAATTGAGGTCTGTAATTATAAAATAACTGGTTTGGGAAGGCAATAATACACTGTAGCCATGAATACACTTAGAAGATAGACTAAGTATTTTATTTCTTAGGTCTTAAGGAATTCTAGGCACCAAACTTTTCATTTTCCATCACACATGGCATATGGCTTCTTAACTCATACTGGGCGCCATTAGGTGCCACCTCACTGACCCATTTTCCTTACGTGTTATGGTCTGCACTTACAGAATCAGATCAACGGGACTCAGAGCAGCATGACTACAAGAAAAGCCCCTCTAAACATATCTAATTTCAGTTAGGACAGGGGTTTACCTTCCCTTATTCAGGTGTCCTGGAGGGGCACTGATTTGTTTGGGGATGCCACCTGTGATTAAAGAACAAGATCACTCCTGCCTTGATTTTAAAGCAGCTTAAAATATTCCCTCCGTGGGCACCAATGACTAACTTCCACATGGTATCACAGCGCAGGAGTCAAGCATCTGATAAACACTGAAAAAATACAACGGGTCAGGCAGGGGGTTAGGTGCTGCTGATACAAAGATGAGCAAGACACTAAGTGGCCAACCCAGGGAAGTGTTGAATGTGCAAACAATCCTCACAGAACTCAAGTGCTGCAGCAGTTGTGGGTACAAAATGTTAGGAGAGCACACAGAGGAGGCAGTGACTAATTCTGCCTGAGGACAGTCATCACGGTGTGTGGGGTGATGGAGAGTAGTAGGAGGTAAAACTAGAAACAGCCAGATTAGGGGCCCCCAGTCCACTTGCCATTAGTCACATTTTCCTTGGGCAAGTGCATTCACTTCCAAGGCTTCAACAACTACCCCCACAATCAACAACTTCCATATCTGAAATCTCAGTCCCATCTCTCTTGATTTCAGGCACATGTCCTAATCTACCTCAGAACATCTATGTATGTCTCGGAGGCACCTGATAACCAAATCTATCACTCTAACGTCCCCAGACTTCTTCCTTTATTCCCATCCTCAGTTTTCAGTCAGTGTCCAAACTATAACCTCACTGTCATCCTCTATGCCTCTATCCCTCACCTCCAAGTAGCCACCTAGTCCTGTCAATCCCACTTCTAAAATCCCTCTCAAACCTCCATTCTTCTCTGTCCTTCCATTCCCTCTGTCCAGTCCTACATCTTCCCACATTCCAACTACAACGACAGCCACAAAACTACTCCAAATTCCGTTCCTGCTCATTCACTCCACACAGCGGATGCATGGTACTATGGGTACTGCAGCAAACAAGACATACAAAGAAAGTGCCTGCTTTTGAAGCTTTCTGTTCGTTCCTTCCGGCCAATTTCTTTTTTAAAATGAATCTGGGTGGCCCAGTCGTTAAGCGTCTCCTTTTGGCTCAGGTCATGATCCCGGAGTCCTGGGATCAAGCCCCACATCGGGCTCCCTGCTCAGCGGGGAGTCTGCTTCTCCCTCCGCCCTTCACCCTGCTCATGTTCTCTCTCACTCTCTCTTCTCAAATAAATAAAATCTTTAAAAAAAAAATGAATCTGGTCATGGCACATGCCGGCCTCAAGTCTTCAGTAGCCTCTCACCACCTACACAACAAACTCCTAGCATGCTGCACAGGCTGTTCAACATCTGGCAAGTCTACCTTCCAGCCTCTTGTTCTGCCATCCAGGCACAACCCTGTTCTTAAGACTGCATGTTTCTTCAGGCTTTTGCCTTGGCAAATGTGACTTCCTGTACCTGAAACATTCCTTCGTCATCTCCCCCTCAAGAATTCCTACCCCAGAGATTCTGAGTTCCCATACCCAAGCGACTATGGCACTCATCACATGGTATAGGAATTGTATTTAGAAGTCTGCTCCTCCCATCTGGTTATGAGCTCCTTAAAGGACAGGAACTGTACCACAGGGGAGTCTACCCTCATAGCAGGTACTCAGTAAGTCTTGATTCGAGTAAAAGCAAGGAAGAAGTATATCCATCTAGAAAGGTTAAAAAGCAAAGGTCAGGGAAATTGGGAGAGGGAGCTCAAACTTCACCTGATGGCCTGTCCAAGTACTTATTGTGTGAAGTACTTTGGTACTTCTCTGGGCTCTGAGAACAGAGCTTCCTTTAGAGGCATGTTTCCCAAAGAACATCTTTAACACCATGAGGCAGGGAGCAGGACTCTCCCTTTTCAATCTTTTTGATGTTTCTGATTTGGCTGGAGAAACACAAAAAACAGATGTGGTGACTGGTCTCACTTTAAATTCATGACCACTAAGTCCAAGTGGGTCCTTAATGCTAACTGGCAGCTCTACATTTCTCTTGCTCACTCGCTAGACTAATTCATGTCTTTCCTCTCTCTTCATGCTCATTCTGCTTAGCTGAGCCTTCTCCCTGTTTCACTGAGAAAACAACCAAAAGACCTTCCCCACGTTCCCACCACGCCTACTCGAGTCAGTACTCACTCCTGTTGCCATCCACACTGTTAACTAGTGATAGACTGCGCTCCTAGCTTAGGCTAACCTCTCTCCACTTCGCAAGACTCCATACCTTCTTGCTTACTAAAATCACTCCAGTAATTATACCCTGTCTCCTGCTCCACCAATTTTTTCCCCTCTCTACTAGACCATTTTCACCAGCTTACAAACATGATCTAATTCCTCTTACAAAAAGAAAAAACTGGAAACAACTCCCTCAAACCCTCCCCATTTCAGTTACCACCCTATGTCTTCCCTTTTTAGGAAAACTTCCAAACAGTTGTCTTAATCCACTGTCTCCAGTTCCTCACTTCCCATTTTCCTTGAACCTATGCCGATCAGACGTTCACCCCTACTGTCCCTAAAAACTGTTCTTCTCAAGTTCACCAAAAAGCTGTTACTTAAACAGCATTACACAGTTGAACATTCCCACCCCTTGAACACCTTTCTTCATTTGGCTTCCAAGTTACCATTCTCTTTTGGTTTTGCTCCGACCTCAGTGGTCATTCCCTTTCAGTCTCTTTTGCCTGGTTCCTTCCCCAATCTCCTTTCCATCAACACACAAGGTCTCCTGCCTTCAAATACCATCTACATTTATACCTCCAGTCCAGGGAGACTCTGAACTCCAGACTTATATATCCAACTGCCTCTTTACCATCTCTACTTAGATATCTAATAAGCACCTAAAAACCTAAAATGGCTAAAGATAGAATCTTGAAACCATCCCGGGGCGCCTGGGTGGCTCAGACGGTTAGGCGTCTGCCTTCGGCCCAGGTCATGATCTCAGGGTCCTGGGATCGAGTCCCGCATCGGGCTCCCTGCCCCTTGGGAGCCTGCTTCTCCCTCTGCTTCTCTCTCTCTCTCTCTGTCTCTCATGAATAAATAAATAAAATCTTTAAAAAAAAAAAAGAATCTTGAAACCATCCCTTGCCCCGAGTATCTTTTCCCATGCTTCTCCATTTAAGAAAATTTGGAACTCCCATTTTTCAAGTTGCTCAGGCCAAAATGATTGATCTCTTTATCTCACATTCACCCATCTGTTACCAAATCCAGTTTGCCCTGCCTTAAACTGTAACTGGAACCCAACTGCCTCTTACCATCACCATTACCACTCTGCTCCAACTCACGGCAACTCATCATTGCAACAGCCTCCTGACACCTTCTACTTTCAACGTATCAGCCAGAATCACCTTTTCATAATTTAAGTCAAATCATGTCCCTTGACAGCTCAAACCTTTTCCAATGGTAAGTAAAAATCCACCACGGGCTAAAGGCCTATACAATCCAGCCATTCCTTACCTTCACACCTCATCTCCTTCCATTCTCCCCCTTGCTCACTCTGCTCCAGCCACAACAGCTTTCCTCCTGTTCCCGGAACACACTATCCACCTCAGGGCCTTTGCACTTGGTCTTCCCTCTGCCTGGAAGATTCTTCTCCCAGTTACCTACATTGTTTCATTCCCTCACTGTCTTCTGGTTTTTGTCCCAATGTCACCTTCTCGGTGAGGCCTGTCTTGACTACCCTATTTAAAACTGCCATTTCCCTCAATCACTCATCCCTGAATTTTCCCCATCACACTCATTACTATCTAATACATTGTTTACTTAATTTATATTGTTTATTTATCACTACTAGAGTGCCACGAGAGATTTTTATTTGTTCTGTTCAGTGCTGTATCCTCAGGGCCAAGAACAGTGCTGGCAAACAGAAGTTGCTCAAGGGGTTATTTGTTGAATGAATAAAATAAGAAACTCTTAATTTGCTGCTAGAATGCCTTCAATACTCAACACTTGCTAATCTCCTTAGGGCTCAGCACCTTAGCTAGTAAAACCATCAAGTCAGAATTTGGTAACATTAAACTGAAGTGATTTGCGTTCATTTCGTTTTATGATTACTTTTTATTTAAGATACTGGGTCTCTACTGTTATAAGTTACTTTTAATACATGTTTTAAGTTTAAAAAGTGAGTTTCTTATAAGAAAAACGTTAAGAAATTATATGGGACTAGAAGAGAGACACGGTAAAATTAGTGTTAAGTGGTATTTGAATGACTGAACTTTAGGAACTCTTAAGGTAGAGCTGCCAGAGAAAATACAGGACACCAGTTAAATTTTAACTGTAGATAAATATTTTTTTTCTAGTTTATGTCCCAAATATTGCATAGGACACACACTAAAACAGTATTCGTTATCTGAAATCCTATTTTAAATGAGCACCTTTTTCCCCCCTAAATCTGGCAACCCTATCTTAGGAGAACAAAGAAATTACACCCTGCTCCTTGTTCGCATCCATTTCGATCAGAACAAGCTGGCAGAACTCTTGTCCTAGCTACAGACTTCGTGGCTGTGGAGGAGTACCGAGGCCTGACATCCTAAAAATCAAAGAAGCAAAGGCCTCTTTGGGAGGGGAAAGGCCCCGCGGCATCAGACCGCGGGGAAGGGGGGGGGGGTCTGGGCCCAGCTCCCTTTCTCAGCCTCTCAGGCTTGCAGCCACTTTCCGGCCCTTACCAATATTTCCTTCGATGGAGAGCCTTCGAGGCCCGCACTCCGCGTGCAGGCCCCTCAAGGGGCACACGCCACCGACCGGGCTCTGGGCCATGGAGCTGGAAGGTGCTCGCAACAGCCTTCGAAGGAGCCGGCCCGCGGTCATTCCACCCACAACTTGCGCAGCCACCACTTCCGCCGAGAGCATTTCCGCCCTCGGTACAGCCGTTCCAGCGCTCCGGCGCGTCTATGACGTCAGGAGGTCGCCAGGCAAGAAGTGGGTGGGGTTGAGCCGGCTGGGGGTGGGGCCAAAGGGACGGCTCTGTTCTCGCGATGTTTGTGGATGAGCGAAGCTAGATGGGACAGACTTACGGTGTGGGGGTGCGGGAGATTTAGTACCTGCGGTTGTTACGGGGGTTAAGCCTCTCGGTTTTTGTCGAACAGCAACATCGTAAAAGAGGCGTAAACTCACCAATCTCATCACCTTTGCATTTTTGTGTAACTTTTAAGTCATAACTAAAGACAAATCAAAATAACTGTAATTGTAAGCGAGGCTTTTCCAGGTGTTTGCTTTTTATTCTAATATGGGTAGCAACTGGACTATTTTAAGTAGGAAAATGACACAATCTGATGATGTACACAAATTAACTTTTTCCCATTCACTGCGACGCGCAGCACAATGCTGGCACATTACTGAATAAATCAAATTAGTTCATTACACTCCACCTCTTATTTTGTCTTTTGAATGAATAAATAAACGTTCACTCGATTTGCGTAGTAGCCAAAAATCCTATTAGGCTAAAGTGGGTGGAGGCTCAGGACATGAGTGGAACTCGTTTAAACCAGATAGATTGGGTCCTGTGGGCGTGAACACGACGGGGGTGAGGATTCTGAATGGGATTTGTCAAAGGCTGAGCAGAACCCGGGTAGAGACTTGCTGGTGTTTAAAACTGGAGTCCCCCTGTCGGTGGAGAGCTGCGCTCTGCTCTGCCGAGGGGCAGGGACAGTTCTGAGCTGCTGCCCCCGGGTGAGGCCCTGACTGGCTTTGTCCTGCCACACCCCGTTGTCATAACGACCTCAGAACTAACGCTTTATGAAATGTTATTAGAGGGTATTTCCACCTTCCACTGTTGAAACCACAAGAGTCAAAGCAGGAGTCCAACAGTCAAACCGGCCTTCAGGCAGCACTCAGAGGTGGGAGGTTTTAGGAAACAGGGACCTGACTGCAAGGGGTTGGGGAGGGGTCGGTGGCTGGGACACCTGTCTTGCATAAAAAGCACAAGACCTTTTTCTTATACTGATGTTTATATGGGATGGCCGAAGTGATGTTCGTATATTAAGCACATTTTTAAAAAATATAGGTTATAAATTTATTTAGGATAACCTAGATGGAGCACCAATGGATATTGGAACAGCTAAAGTCTGTCCCATCCTCTGCTCCCATTCTCACAGCCACCTTCGTGTCAAAATACTGCATACATTCCTTTATCAATGTGAACTCAGACTTGGAAAATATTCATCAAAAAAAGTTTGAGAGATGGGGCGCCTGGGTGGCTCAGTTGTTAAGTGTCTGCCTTCGGCTCAGGTCATGGTCCCAGGATCCTGGGATGGAGCCCCACATTGGGCTCCCTGCTCAGCGGGAAGCCTGCTTCTCCCTCTCCCACTTCCCCTGCTTGTGTCTCTCTCGTCAAATAAATAAATAAAATCTTTAAAAAAAAAAAGTTTGAGAGAGGCTCTCAGCACCCAGAAGGTCTCTCTGCCTTTGCTGCCATCAGGGTCATTGTGAAGTTTAAATGAGGAAGTTGTTAGGAAGGTTAGGTGCAGACAGGTAACTAGACTTCTCCTTAAAGTTAGAGTTACTAAAAGTTATTATTTTTTTTTAGACTTTAAAGTGTAGTATGTAGTGAAGAAAAGAGCTTGCATCATAAGTATGCAGGTTAATGAAATTTTGACAAATTGTACGTTACTTGGATTCAGATAAAGATATAGAGCATTGCTAGCATCTCCAGCATCCATTTGTCCTGCCAGTTACTACCCACCAGAAGTAATCAATAGCCTGATTTCTTTTTTTTTTT